GCCAAATTAGTTACATTAGTTCAACCAATATAGAAGATCTGGGAAAATTGTGTGGCCCTGCTTAACAGGACTGTTATTTTCCTGTTTAAGATGAATAGCCTCAGATAAAAAGATGTGAGTAATCCTTGGTTTGCTCTGATACAAATTGCTAGTCTCTGGAAAACATGACCATAAATTCTGTTTTAACTTTGAGATTATGACTGCATCATGCCCACCATCTCTTTCCTGTCTACGAGCACTACCATTAGCTGCCCATTGTTTTCTAATCCATGGCCTGTTTTTCTTTAACAATAGTTACACAGTAATAACAGTTAATATTTGAATGTAACCTGTGTTTGGCTGCAGGCCTTCTCAGCTGTGAAGCAAAGATTTGAGTGCACTACACAGTCAGTGTGTATTGCTTTGGAAGAGGAACAGAAAGTGCTCTAGAAGACTGGAAGAATTTTTACTAAAATACATATTTCCCCGGTTAACCTGTCTGCCCTTATGTTGGAAGGGCGGAGCTGGGAAGACTCTGCTGTCTGTGTCGTTTGATCTCTGGTTACCCACTAGGGGCGCTGCTCTTGTTCTGAGTCCCAGCTGGGTGGCCTTAGCTAATGTGGGAGCCTGGGAAGGCTTAGCAATTAGGAGCACCAGAGGGAGGTAGGTTTCAAGTTCTTTCCAAGATTCTCCTCTGGTTCTGCTGTGAGGGAGACCACAAGCCATGATAGAGTGAGAGTGGGGATCTCTGATACTCAGACCAAGAGGAGCAGTTCTGCTGAGCTGTCAGAGCTTCTGTGACTTGGATAGACCATGAGCCAGACTGTGGTTCCATTGATCCATGTGATGACCTGGGCAGTAGTCCTTCTTCACTGAGACTTCCTGGGTGTAGACTCTGTAGGGAGGGGAAGACTGCTTCACTGGCTATGGAAGGCTGTATGTGTCCAGTGTGTATACACATGCATTGGTTTAGTGGGAGGCAGGAAGATAGATTGGAAAACTGAAGGCCTGGTTTCTTGGAGTTCTGAACATTGCTCTCCACTTTCAGATTTGTCTTACAAGTATTACAAATAATTTAGAAACTGTTAGAAAGAAGTGTTGGGAATTATCCTTCAGTGATATGTGATTAGAATGCTTTAAAATTTCTAATACCAGTCTTGACTTGATTCAGGGAAGTTCAGTGCTGGATGTAGGAGCTACACTTTAAGGTCATCATTTGATAAGAGGCAGAGATACCCTGATACATACAAGTAGCAAAGCTCAACTTCTTCATTGGTTGTAAAGTGTAGCTGCACATCAACAATCAGTCATTATGTTATCTAACATTTTGTGATTAGCCGAAATGCTGGCTTTCTAGCAGTGTTTACAGAAAGAGAGTTGTGACATAAATGCTTTGGTAGGGACTTAGGTTTGCCTTAATTTTCTTAATATTAGCACGCTAGGGCATTCTCCAATAGCACAGTGACGATAAGAACATTTTTAAATCTTGAAATATATTTTCCTATTCTTTGTGTAACTTCTGGTTACCTAAGAATACCAGCAGCCCTCATTAGGAATTACAGAGTCGAATTATTTTCTATAGCTTTGACTAGTCAGAATATATTTTTATAAATTGAGGTCAGGAATGGGTGCAAGGACTAAATCATTTGCCAGCTAGCAATAATTGGCCCTTTTTTTAATATTTATGACCTATCCAGATAGCTCAGTATGCCCTTGTGAACTAGACTTCTATTTCTGGGAATGTATATCTTAAAATTCGTTAGCAAGATATCTGGTCTTAATTTAAAGTTACTTTGAAGTATTAAATCAGCTAATGATATACAGTTGTCTTAGAGCTTGGGTGTGCAACTATTTTCTTCTTTCAGCTTAAGCTATGATATAAAACAGCTCTCAGGTATGACTCACAGGCCTTGTTTATAACAACAGGCATAGCTTTGAAAATTTTCCAAGTTTTATTTCTGTTCATAAAAATTATACAACTTAAGAAGACATCGCCTTCCCAACCATAACACAGATATACATGTGCCCAGTAGTTGGAATACATTTATGAGATAAACACACAGGCAGTGAGGGAATTTCCATACCATATTCATAGTAGCAGTGGCATGCAGGGAGACAGCAGAAGCAAAATACATTCTGGAAACTGCATTCTTGTAAGCCTTGCTTGAATGAGACATATCCATCAGAGAGATAATCCTTTGGTGGACTGACACCTGAACTTCAATTACCATCAGCTGCACCTCTGATGAAGTTTTTGTTATCAGCACTCCATGATTGCGACCTCAGTTTCTCTGAGCCCCGTTAACCCTATTTAGTTAACTTTGTGGGCCTTGTTCTCTGGGTTTTCTAAACCCCTCTGGATTCTACAATTCTCACCCCCTCATTCCGCAGGATTTCTAGAGTACAACTAATGTTTAGGTAGGGATCTCTGCATATGCTTCCATCAGTTGCAAAAAGAAAACTCTGATGGCAACTGGACCAGGCACCAGTCACTGATTATAGGAGAATATAATTATGAATCATTTCATTGATTTTTTTTTCTTGGTCAGATGTATTTGGCTTTACATTAGTTCTCTAAGCCATCCAAGTTCTGGTTCCTAGCCATCCAGGCAATGTCTTTACTTCTTCTTCCATGGTTTGCTGTGTAGCTGGGTGGGTAGCCCATGGCGCCCTCTCCTTTTCTTACTCCCCTTTCTTATTTTTCTTTTCTCCCAGATTTTTCCTCCCATTTCTTCTCTCTGCCTACCAGACCTGCCTATCATTTCACATCAAGGTTTTGTCCATTCAGCTATTTATTAGACCAATAACATATTTTATACAGGCAAAGTTTCACAGCTTCACAGAGTTAAACAAATGCAACACAGAAGAAGAGAATACATCTTTGCAAGAGTAAAGCAAATGTTCCACAGCGTAAACAAATATAGCACATCTTATAATAATATTCCACAGCAGCCTGGGTTGCATTTTGAGACCATATTTAGATACCTAAGCTATGAGACATCTTCCATGGAGAGGTGGCTACATATAGGGGGTAGAAGTAACCAAAGAGAGAGATGTATGAGAAGTTGCAGGGATAGGGCCATCTAAGCCCTTTCAACCTGAAGCCCCATGCATCGGAAACAGAGCTACAGGATTTGATGTTTGTCCTGCTGTGCTTCAGTCTTTGCTTGATCCAATCGTCCCTCACTGTCTCCATTTCTGTTCTTGGTATATGAATGGTATTCCGTGCCATTGTAGGTTGGAAAGATGTAACTTGTTTTCTGAAATTACAAGATATCACTGTCTGAAGAGACTTTGGATGTTTGAACAGTGTATAGACTGTTGCAGACTATGAAGATCACTGAAATGACTCAGTGCATATTCTTCATGGATGACCATGAGCCTATCGTGACTTGGGTCAGAATGTAACTGATTGATTGATTGTAAAACCTACCCGATAGGATGATGTATTTGAACATGTATCTCTCCTTGGTGACTTTCTTTTGATTGCTTGTGAAACCTTTAGTAAGAGGAGCCTTTCTGGATAAAATTCATCATTGGGGGTTTGATAGGAGTCTCTGTAGCCTCAACCCATTTCCTGTTTTTTGTGTCGACTGGGTTGTTGTTGTGATAAGAGCGGCAGGGCTGCGTCCCAGGCACCCGGCCGCCCCAAAATAATTACACGGAAACTGTATTCTTTTAAATACTGCTTGGCCCATTAATTCCAGCCTCTTATTGGCTAGCTCTTACAGATTGATCTAACCCATTTCTAATATTCTGTGTAGCACTACGAGCTGGCTTATCAGGAAAGATCTTAACCTGCGTCTGTCTGGAGTGGGAGAATCATGGCGACTCACTGACTCGGCTTCTTTCTCCCAGCATTCTGTTCTGTCTACTCCACCTACCTAATTTTCTGTCCTATCAGGCCAAGCAGTTTTCTTTATTAGTTAACCAATGAAAGCAAAAGGTAAGATACAAGACCCACCTCCACCAGGTTGTGGTTAAAACTAATCAGCCAGCTTCCTGCTTTTGTTATCATGCCTTTACCACCATTATTGACTCTCTCTCAGTCACATAAGATACAGGACAAGCAATGCTGTTCAGTGCTAGGACACTTTGGTAACTTGTTTTAATTTCTTGGTTTGTTTGGTTGGTTTTGAAGACTAGGTTTGTCTGTGTAGCCCTGGCTATCCTGAAAGTAGCCCTGTACACTAGGCTGGTCTCTAACTCAGAGCTCCCCCTGACTCTGGCTCCCAAGTCCTGGGATTAAAGGTGGGGCAACATTCTTGGAATTTTTGTTTTTATGTCATTGGGTGATGAACCTGGAATGTAGGTTTTTGTACATGTCAAGCACATACTGTTGTGCTCAGCTTCACTCCTTATCTTGAATTTTATAATTTGTAGAGGGTATCATTCTGTTTTCCAAGATGGTATGTATTCATGCCATTAATACTGGCTGAGCCTTCTGAGTCATTGGATTACAGGTGTATTACCTTCTTCCTGCCTGTTATGTTTGTTTTGAATTTTTAGTGAATATGAGTATTTTACCTGTATGTCTGGATATGCATCACATGGGTACTTTGTCCTCATAGTGATCAAAAGATGGTCTCAGAAACTCTAAACTGGAAATAATGGATAGTTGTGATCCCCCATATAAGTACTGACAATTGAGGCCACTTGTATGCAAGACCAACAAGAGTTCTTTACTACTGAGCCATTTCTCCTGCCCTGTGTTGATTAGCTATAGACAACATTTATATTCTTAACTCTTTCTAGAAGCTTCAGTAAACACCTGTGAGTTCTTTCTATCTTTTTTTTTGTTTGACTGATTTTTGCATGGGAGACAGGGTCTTAATATGTACTTCTAGCTATCTTGGTCCTGACTGCATAATCCAGGCTGGCATTCAACTCAGAGGCAGGTAATACTTGCCTCTGCCTTCTGAGTGCTGGGATTAAAGGTATAGTTAGTTTTTCATACAATTTCTTTTACATGTATTCTGTACTGTTGATCTGTTTACTTTTCTCTTTGTGTTTGTTAATAGATATTTCTCTTCCAAGGTGATATCCCATTTAAGGGTACAGAAATGACAGAGGTGACCCTCCAGTTTACTTCTAAAGTGACTTGGTAATTACATTATAATATCTATGTCATGGAATTAGTGTTGGGAGCACCACAATTATATGACTATACTGTTAAAGAATATTCATTTACAATGTTGTCAGTATCATACTTTCTGTTGTAAACATGTATGGGATGTTTTAGAATGCTGTGACCTATGATGATGTGCATGTCAACTTCACTTGGGAAGAATGGAGTTTGCTGGATCCTTCCCAGAAGAATCTCTACAAAGACGTGATGCTGGAGATCTACAGAAACCTCAGTACTATTGGTAAGTCTGCATTTTTCTTCATGTTTTAAAATAAGGGGACAACTATTCTTTGGTTATTGATGCTCTGACTGAGAAAAAAGAAGAATGAGGTGAATAAATCAGGCATGGTTCTAATGTTTACTGAAGATAGTAACATAAATTTTACACAATAATATAACATACATTTTTGCTACTGTATTTCAGGATACAGTTGGGAAGACCATAATAATGAAGAACATTGTCAAAGTTCAAGAAAACATTCAAGGTAATTTTCATGTGCAAGCTGATACAAAATGTGTCTCTGAAGAAATTGTATATCCTGAAAGTTTTAAACAAAAGCAGCAATGTAAATAAGCACAGTTTAAAGTGCATTAATGATCATTAAATTCTCACACAACAGATGTCCTAGTTCACTTGGCAAATGTAGTGTGACTCGCAGTATAGGAAAATTCGTGAATGCAGTAAGGGTGGTAAAGCTCTCAGTTTTTCAGTTCTCTTCAAATATGTGAAAAATCTCATATAAGAAAATGCTATAATTGTAAACTATGTAAGAAAGGATCTTACCATCACAGGTGTCTTAAAGAGGCAAAACAACCCTTAATGAAGAACAACATGAGTAATAAAACTTTAAGATCTGCCTCCTCTTTACAATTGGACCAAATTGTAAAATTAAATCATACAGATATAACTATTGAACAGTGTATTAAATGTGTTAAAGTGTTTACCTGTGCCAATTATTCTTGCAGGCTTGAAAGAAGTCAAACTGGAGAAAAACCTTCTATATATACTAAATATGTTAAAGCCTTTGCCTATGACAGTCATTTTCAATGGAATGAAAGAGCATATACTGGAAAGAAACCCTCTGAGTGTAATCAGTGTGGAAAAGGCTTTGTAGATCTCAGTACTCTCCAAAGACATAAAAGAATACATACTGGAGAGAAACCCTATGCATGTGACCAGTGTGGTAAAGCCTTTGCACGTTACAGTAATCTTCTAATGCATAAAAGAACACATACTGGAGAGAAACCATATAAATGCGATCAGTGTGGTAAAGCCTTTGCACGATACAGTCATCTTCTAATGCATGAAAGAATACATACTGGAGAGAAACCCTATGAATGTACTCAATGTGGTACAGCCTTTACATTTCACAGTTCTCTTCAACGGCATGAAAGAACACATACTGGAGAGAAACCCTATGGATGTATTCAATGTGGTAAAGCATTTTCACAACTCAGTAATCTTCAAATGCATGAAAGAACACACACTGGAGAGAAACCTTATGAATGTAACCAGTGTGGTAAGGCTTTTGCTCATCTTGGTCATCTTCAACGGCATGAAAGAATACATACTGGAGAGAAACCCTATGAATGTATTCAGTGTGGGAAAGCCTTTGCACATCTCAATACTCTTCAAATGCATAAAAGAGCACATACTGGAGAGAAACCCTATGAATGTGATCAGTGTGGTAAAGCCTTCGCACAGCATAGTCAACTTCTACTGCATAAAAGAACACATACTGGAGAGAAACCCTATGAATGTAATCTATGTGGTAAATCCTATGCACATCTTAGTAGTCTTCAAATGCATGAAAGAACACATACTGGAGAGAAACCCTATGAATGTAATCAGTGTGGTAAAGCTTTTACAAGTCAGAGTTATTTCCGAATACATATAAGGACACATTCTGGAGAAAAACCCTATGAATGTAATCAATGTGGTAAAGCCTTTGCATGTCACAAAAGTCTTCAAAGGCATGAAAGAACACATACTGGTGAGAAACCCTATGAATGTATTCAGTGTGGGAAAGCCTTTGCACATCTCAGTACTCTTCAGATACATAAAAGAGCACATACTGGAGAGAAACCCTATGAATGTAATCAGTGTGGTAAAGCCTTCGCACGTCCCAGTCATCTTCAAATGCATGACAGAACACATACAGGAGAGAAACCCTATGAATGTAATCAGTGTGGTAAAGCCTTCGCACAGCACGGTCATCTTCAAATGCATAAAAGAACCCATACTGGAGAGAAACCCTATAAATGTAACCAGTGTGGTAAAGCCTTTGCATGTATCAGTAGTCTTCAAAATCATGAGAAAAAATCATACTGCAGAGAAACCATATAAATGTTGTCAATGTGGTAAAGTTTTGCACTTTATTCAGGAGTAAAAGTTTTGTGTGCAATCAATCTCTTAAAGCCTTTGCATATTGCAGTAATCATATGAAAAAAACTAATACTGAAAATCTTGTTGCTATAAAGTATTTGGTAAGATCTTCAGCCAACTCATGTATATTCAGTTACATAAGAGTATTCTGGAAAAGAGATTTTGACAGTGTCACCAACCTATTCAAGCATTATTATGTCTGTCTCTATTTTGTTTGCCAACTCCATGGAACAAAAGCCCTATGAGTTTAAATGGGTAACTGTAGCAATATTTTGTTTATGATCTAACAAATAAAACTTGCCTGAAGATCAGGGTGCAAAACTAGCCACACTAGTTAGCCATAGAGGCCAGGCAGTGGTGGTTTATATGTTTAATCCCAGACAGAGGCAGATGGATCTCTGTTGGCTCAAAGCCATCCTGAGCTACATGAAATTGATCCAGTCTAAAAGAAAAACAAAGCTCACACAAAGGTAATCTCAGCATTTGGGATTCCACACTAGGGAGTTGAAGACAGGAGTGATATGATTGGGCAGAGAGAGGAATATAAGGTGGGAGGAGACAGGAGCTCAGTGGAGTCTGAGGTGCGTTGCAGTCAGGACAAGATCACCGCTTCCATCTGAGCATTGGTAGAGGTGAGAACTCTCTGGTGGCGGCGGCTGTGCTTTTGTCATCTTCAGCTTTACCCCAGTATCTGTCTCTGGGTTTTTATTAATAATGACTAGAATTTGTGTTAAATCTGGCGCCCAACTTTTGGGGTACAGCCATTTGCCTGTGGCTTTGCAGCCACCAGTATAGGTCGAAGCACATACAATCGGAGTCACTACCCTACCAGCTGTTTCCTTTCTTCTCTCCTGTTGGGCTTTTCCTGAAACCCCTTTTTGGGATGCTGCCAAACTAGGTAGCTGCCTTGAAATTTGGTCAGGCCTTTACTGTTGTACACAGCAGCACTCAGCCTCATGTCATAATTGTTATTGTTGGCACATTTGGTGAGAAAATTGGGAATTCTTAAAGGGAGGAATCAGGTAAAAGTTTTTCCCCCACTTTAAAAATTAGGAAACACTATTACAATGGAGAGTTAGGTCTCTGTATGATTACACAATGGGTGGTTTAAAATTAGAACAATTAGATGAGGAAATTTGGGAAGGGATGGAGAGGACAAAGAAGGGGGAAAGTGATATAATATATTTTAATTAAAATCTACAAAAATAAGTTTTAAATAAAAAGCATGGCTTGAGAGTTAGCAATTAAGAGCACTGGACTCAGGTTATATTACCAGAGACCATGGTTGTTAATCATCTCCTATAACTCCAGTTCCAAGAATATGATTTCCTCTTCTGGCCTCTGCAGGTACTGCACATAGACAGACATGTACAGGCAAACACCCATATACATAAAATAAAGCTTAAAAATGAAATTCTGTACAGTAATGTCACAGCTTGAGCAAACAACAGTCAGGGCTGGTTAAAATGAACCCTTTCTGGTCCTTCCTAGAAGCAGCTGTGGCCTTTGAGCCTGCTTGCTCAGAAGCAAAAGAAGCCTTAATCTGAAGTTAGAATAGGCAGAATAGCTGTTCATTTAAAAATGTCATTTAGTGTGGAAAGGTGACTCTTCCATTTTTTTTTTTTGTATTTGTGTTCTATATCCTTTGTATGTGTAAGGGTTGTAGCACTGATACTTCTTTCAAATATACCTTTGAGAGCATGCATTATGATCTATTTATCTTTTAGATCATACACAATACATTTATATTTAGATCATAATGCATGATCTGAAAGAGAGTTTTGCTCTGTAAATACACTCCATCTGCCTAAGTGATTAGATTTGCATTCTCCTCTCCCTTTTTAAATTGTTCAAAGTATAACCTCAGGCCTGAACCTGAAAGAGGCTTAAGAATGACAGCATATGTGGAATGCAAAATCTGTGCCAGGCTGCCTCCTCTTTTAGCATTAAACACCCCTGGATGCATACTGTTATTAAAGAGATTTTTGCTTATTAAACTTTTAAATGTGTGGAATGATTTGTCCATGGCAAAGCACATTAATTCTACACCAATAGTACCTCTAGCCTTATAGAACAATGTTTATGAGACTTTTTTATTTCTGATTTTTTGTTTTTTTGAGGCAGAGTTTCTCTGTAAAAGCCCTAGCAGTCCTGGAACTAGCTCTTATAGACCAGGCTGGTCTCAAACTTAGATCTGCCTACCTCTGTTTCCTAAGTGCTGGAATTAAAGGCATGTGCCACCACCACCCAGCAAGACAATATTTCTTATGTAGGATCAGGTAGCCTTGTTCCCACATAAGGATCGTGTTGTGATTAAAACAACTAAATTCTTAGATTAAAGACCTCAGCCACCACTAAGTTTTAAAATTACAAATTTGAGTCATATAGTCAACTGTCCATTTCAGTAGCAGGAAAAGAATTTGTGTGTGGATATGGCTTCTGCCTTCAAACCAGAATAGGAGGAATAGTTTATTGTGTACACTGTAGAGGGAAGCAGGGTAGGCAGACAGCTGCTGAAGTCACTGTTATAAAATAGGATCTGATAGTGGCAGGATCAGTGATTTTGTAATTTCCTAGCATAGATAGATAGATCCATGTCATGTGAATAAAGGCAGGCCAGATTTTGGATGTACAATTTGGGAAAGTTAGCTTGAGCCAATGAATACTGAATTTCTAACAAGGGAACTCAGATATGTTCAATCCTACTTGTCATGGTTCCATCTCTTAGCTGTAGTTGTGTGTGTCAGGATCTCAGCAGATAACATTGCACAAAGCGGCATGGTGAAATAATATGAATGCCATTCCCTGCCAGAGGCCATGGGAATATACAGAAGATGAGAACTAATATTCAAAAAGTCAGCCCACCATATGAATAACTCTATGATGGGTAGCCCCACTTAGCAAAGACCATGGGCCACTGACAGTGAATCTGTTTCTGTCGTGCCATTACGTTTCTTCCCTAAAAACAGTTATGAATATTTTCCCCAATGTCTGTGTGTTTATCTCATAAATATATTCCATCTATTGGGCATACATATATCTGTGAATGGTTAGAAAGATGATTTCTTCTTAAGCTGTATAATTTTGATGAATGGACATAACAACTAGGATATTTTTCATAGCTCAGACTAATAGGAAAATAGCAATATTCTCAGTTACAAAGACAACTTTTTACACCATTACCTGATTTAAGACCTCAAAAGCAATTCAAAGTAAACTAGTTGCCCTTTGGAGATGAATTACACAAGGACAAGTTCCCAAGTGTCTTTTTGTTGAATCAAGTTCAGGCACAAACCAACTTTAGTAGACATAATTCTCTCAGCAATTGACTCTCTGCATGCATTCCTAACCACTCAAGGTTCAGAAACTGTTTATTGTTTAGGTCCTGTATTTCAGTGTCACTCTCCATGATGTCTCTCAGGCTACATGCCTCCCACCTGCACAACCACACATTGTCATGGTTGCTCATTGGCTGGTCAGTGTGACATCCCTGGCCTGTGAGAAACTGATTTAAAGCAGAGGTTCTTCCAAAGTTATAGGCCAGGATATGGAGCCAAGGGTTAGGGTGGGGAATTGTGTGCAGGTCTGGGATTTTTGAACAGGCTTAAATGGGTTTAGTGAGCAGTGGATAGTGTCTTCCGTAGGGATCCTTGCAGAGGATGGAAGAAATACAGACTGGGTAGTAGAAGAAGATAGTTCTAAATACCTTCTAAGGCCACATGACCAGTTGAAGAAATGAGGATTAAAACTGACATAGGTGCTCTTACTGCATTTTGTTAATAATGTATTTTACAGATATTTGTAGTTCTTTCCATTTCCTTTTCATGTGTTGCAACATCAATTAAGAGAATATCAGTGGTTTTCAGAGGTAAGTTTGAAATACTAGAAAGATGTCCCCCAAAGGATTTTGACACTATTCTAAATATATAATGCATTTGTGATTTATGTGGTATATTTATGGTATGTTAAGGTATAATTATTACCTTGTTATTGCTTTTCATTTGGAAGTTAATCATGGGCAGTGTGATTGAAAGCAAAGTTGACAAGGGGTGGATTGTGATGGCTATTCTTTGTCAACTGTGACCTCCATTTCTGAATTATAGTTCATTCCAGATAATTCAGAAATGGAGGTCACAGTTGTGATCTGCACCTTAAGGCACGAAGGCAACATACATTTGATACAGATCCCGAGACTGGATGACACACACCTTTAATTCGGACCTTGAGGCTAAAAGGCACACCTTTAATTTGGGTTACACATTCTGCTGGAAGGACAATAGAAAAGAAAGGTAATGTGTTAGTTCTTCACATCCATTTTTTCATGGACATTGAAGCCTACTTCTTTGGAATTCCAGTGCATACGAAAACCCAGCTGAGATGCCCAGCCTCCTGGGATTGAGCAACTACTAGATTCTTGGACTTTCCATTCACCAGCTAGCCGTTTTTGACAGCAGCCTGTAAGTCATTCCAATAAATTCCCATATATGTGTGTGTGTACATATATATACATACACACACACACACACACACACACACACACAGAGAGAGAGAGAGAGAGAGAGAGAGAGAGAGAGAGAGAGAGAGATTCCATAAATTCTGTGACTCTTGAGAACCTTGACGAATACACTGGAATTTCCAGTCAATTACATTTCTATACTTTTAGATCCTAATTTTTTGATTTATACCATAGCTACACATCTGGAACATTTTTAGCAAATACTTCAACACCACATTACATACTTTTGTAGAAAATAATCTTTTCTATTGACTAAAGCTAAAGAATATGGGAACTAGTCGTGTAAGGGTTGGGTGCTATTTCTGGTGAAAATTTTATAAAACAGTATGAGCCATTAGATACATGGAAATATTTTGCTATTTGTTTTGATCAAGTTGATAGGTACTTGCTACTTAATGAAAAACTACTTATTTATTAATTTAATTTTATAGCTATTTATGAATTAAACCTATTAAAATTCAAAAATTAAAAAAATTGGAGTAAGTGAGCTGGAGACAGAGACTTCTGAGGGCCCAGACATGAATCTGGGACCTTCAAGGGAGTAGACCTAAGCCAGGACCCCTGTGGGTCTGGGCATGAGTCTAGGACCTCCCAGGAACTAGGCCCGAGCCAGGACCTCTGCTAGTCTGGGTGTGAATCTGGGACTTCTGAGGGAATAGGCAGGAACCAGAGATCTCTGTGGGGCAAGGGGTGAGTCTGGGACCTCAGAGTAGGTCTGGGACAACAAAGGGAATAGGCGGGAACCTAGAATGTCTGCAGGTTCGAGCATGAGTCTGGGACCTCTAAGGGAGTAAGCCTGAGCCAGGTCCTCTGTGGTTCTGGGTGCAATCTAGCCTGAGAACTCTGAGGCAGTAGACCAGAGCCAGAAACCTT